CACTCCCACTCCCAAAAGTGTGAATAATCGTCCAGTTGTAAGACTCTTCCGGTGCCTAGCTGCCATGCTACCTGAAGGAAGCACGTGGGCTGCGATACTGCCAGGTTGCCCAAGCCTAGACAGGGGAAGTCAAGAGGCAGAGGTCGGGTTCGAACCACGGACCTTCCAGTCAGTGAATTCGCGCTCTAACCACTTGAGCTATCTCGCCCCAAAAGTGTGAATAAAGGGACCGGATTATGCTCACAAACTGCTGGGACACACCATGTTGAGCAAATATAGTTAACAATACCTACCGATTGACAGAATCGAACGCACCCTTGAAGTCTAGGAATACCAAGATTATGGGTCATCTGTACATATGGCGTTGCTCTAACACCTGATTGAGTGTGAAGATGTGGTCGACGCAGCCTCTACCCGGCGGACATCCTGCGTGATTCTCACGGGTCAATGATTCGCGTGCTGCCGTAAGACGTCGAAGAATCAGTGACGCCAGAAGCCTTATTACAAAGGGCGTCAAGATAAAACCTCTGTGATTACCAGGTTCACTGCAGGTGCGCTCCTTTCCCACAGGTAGACATGTATAGGCTACACAGGCACTAGATGAGAAATTCCACACCATCCGTTGAGATGGCAAGTGGAAGGCTGTCAGGGCTAGTAGTAGAGATCAACACTTGGACACTCCTAAGTTTGAGGGGCTTCCATGATCACAGTCCACCTTTCTGTTGGTCTACAGTCCGGTTTGGAGGTAGCAGCTGGCCAACTGAATTGTCGTTCCAAGTACTGTGCCCAGTAGTCCCAATGTTCTTTTTCGCTGGATATCAGAGAGCTATTCTGGTCCGTGATAGTTTCGCTGACAACAGACTTCCGAGGATCAGTCGAACGAATCCAGTTCAACAGTCTGCGGGTATCAGGAAGGTCAGATTCCTGAAATCAACTTCTGAACGCCCGGAACCTATTGCTCCACCAAAAGCTCAACTGGAAAGCCGGCAAGCATCCAGGCCAGTCAATCATTCCATCAATTCAGTGAAACCTGATGAGTGTTCGTGCACGCCACAGAAGCACGACCGAATGTGATCAGCGTTCAGGCTTTTCACAGAGGCACGATCGATGTTGATGGGTGATCACTAACGCCTATCAGACAGCCTGGATCAATGTCAGAAAGTCCCCTTTAAATAGCGTGGGGCCGTTGTAACTTTTGCACTCGCTCTCTCACTCTCACTCACTCGCTTGTTCGGAATACAGCTGTTGTGTTCCCTTCTGTGAGTCTTTTCTATCCGACACTAGGCACTGGAGCGGGTCAGCAGCAGATACCTCAGATTGACGAATCAGCAGACATAACAGCGGGCGCTCCCAGCATTTTCTATCTCTTCCATTTCTTCGACTTTCGGGTCCACCAAGCTTCGTGGTCTGCACGGACACTCAGTTGTACCTGGCGTTGGATGATCAGTCCGGTTGAGTTGTGGTTGTTTTCAGAGGGAATCTATGGCCGGACCTCGAACAAAGCCACGGTCCTATTAGAGATCTAATCTTTCGATAAGGTTGGCTGGTTTGTACCGCTAACGGAAGTTCAAGCTCTGAGTACCACAGTGGATATGTTTCCTCAATGGCCGTTAATATCCGACATAGGACGGTCCGGCAGACGTCCAAGGAGCCAATTCTGAAAGTTTTGCTTGATTTCTGTGTCTGTTAGCCCCTCACTGGCTAAGTGAGGTGTGTTCCTTTTGCGTAGACCTGAAAAGCACAATGGAAAGCAGCAGCGGATAAGTGCGTGGTCGGAGTCAGCACTGTTATTCCGGAAGAATCGGTAAGCAGTGATTGACCCTCACCACCGGTGACTGACGGTGATGTGGCCGATTTTGATTCGGGACTCGTCCGTTGGTGTACACCACATTGCCAAGCGATTTCCGCTGTTCCGGAAATTGGCAATGTGAAGTAACAGTTTGTGATCGACACACATCTGAATTAGACTATTTCCGTTGTCCGTGCGTCTCGTATTCAACCCAAGACGACCTCCAAATTAGGCCTTAGCAGCGCTTAGTCTTCCTCTCTGGGCGTTCATGTCACCACCAGCCACAACGATGTCTGAGCTTTTAGTCCGTTGTAAAAGAGCAACTAGAGCGTCATAGAAACTGTATTTGCCAGTTTCAAGTCTGCAATCTGCTGGGGCGTAAGCATACGCTATAACCAGGGCGCGATAACCTCACTTTCTCAAGACTGTCTCACATACGTTCCAAATGAATCGCACAGAGGTGACTATCACTGGGTACCCAATCCGATCGGTCACTCAACACGATAACCACCCCGGTATATTCTGCTGCAGCGGCCTTTACATCACCAGGGATGCACAGCCGGAACTTGGAAGAGAGTGAGGGGGCAGTCAGTTCAATCACAGTACTTGCGTCTTGTATCCTTGTTTATGACAGACAGCATACATGAATGCGGGGGTAATGCATTGTGCGAGCAACAGACACTTGTTGTCCTGCCGTTACTGTTAAAGGCAGCTGGGTAGGCCAGCCCTTGGGGTTTGGAACAGATTCCGAAGTGTTTAGGGTTGTCACTGAAGTCGGATTTGCAGCTGAGTGTGAGATGCACAATGATTCCGTCAGTCCTGCTTCTGGGACGTACGGAGAGAGTATTCAAACTTGTATGGGGCGGAGTAGAAGAGCAAAGACTTGAAAATGTAAGAAAGGAGACGTCAGCAGTAGCATGTTTTCGCTTACCTGACCAGCAAGTAAGCCTGGTGACACCACGCGGTCGTCGATGTGGCACAAGATTATTTTTGGTTTTATGTGTCATGATTATCGGTGGACTTGGATACTGCCAGGGCGCCGAGACCTAAATAGAACAATTTGGGTTCTCAACCAAAGCCTTGGGCTCAAAAGCCTTGCTGCAAGACAGTGGTGTTTAGCGGAAAAGTGAACTTCATTGACTTTTTTACGAAATAAATCACCGCGCGTGTTCTAATCCACAACCTGGAGAGCTAGAGGATTATGTTGGTCAGTCCTCTAACCATTGGCCAACCTGGTATGAGAGACACTGTGACTGTCGCGTGGACAGCACCCAATATAATTCAATGGGTCACGAAGGCACAAAAACTGTCACACCACAGTGAGGCCCAGTCTCTTAATGATGAGAAGCCGAGAAGCTGCAGTTAACTTACGACGCGCGTCTCAAAAATCTCTGGGGATATTCGATTCCGGCTAGTAGTTGAGCGCCATAACACTGAGCCACCGATGACTGGTTGACAGAGCGTTTAGCTACCAACCAGAGGGTCGCAGATTCACACCATCTTGAAGCTAGGTGAAGCACGCACTGCTGATGATTCGCAATAAGGATGTTTTTTCATCTGTTTATAATTCTGAAGATACTTCCCGGGTTATGGTGTCGATCCCAATCAGGTAGGCGGTGCGCAACTAGCCTCTCAGGTGGTTCTTATCCGTAAATTGTATATTTTCTGACTTTTGTTCCGATAATCGAGTGGGTAATCTTTCTTCCGTTTCTCCAAACGTCCTTCCTATCGGGCGTAGATCGAATAAAGTAAATGCAGGTCAATAACGATTCAGTCTTATGCATGTCTGACTCGAACATCAATCTTCTGATGTTGATAGCAATCGATAATTGTTCTGCTGTAACACTCTTGCTGCCGTGTTACCCGAAGGAAGCAAGAGGGATGGGGATACTTCCAGGTTGCCCAAGCCTAGACAAGAAGAACCGAAAAGCCGGAATTAGATTCGAACCACGAACCAGTAAATCCGCGCTCTAATCACAGCCATTTCACCCTTCTGGTCTTGCGTGCTACCGCGAGCGTTACAACATTGACGTTTCATTAGAGGATCCTGTCGTTGAATGGTGATGTAGAATAAACTTCTCGCGCTCCACACTGTCTCATTAGTTGTAAATGAAGCTGCGAGCCTTCATATAACATGATCTGTTTATTTTAATAAGCACTTTTGGTGCGCCCCTGTAAAATGGCACTATTTAATGTGTTTGGATATGAAGGTTCTGAATTTCAGTCTTTGTTCTGTCAAAATAGTTCCCCGAGACACAAAGCCCATGGGAGACCTTTTGGTTGTCTACTTAGCTGAACATCCAGGACATAGAAAACTCCGTTTTGTTCGTTTTGCCGTGTCTGGATAACAGCAATTTGTCTTCTCAACGCTTTGGGTTGTCACCTCGTCCGTTTTCACAGTAGCAATAGAATCGCCGAGATCTACACCCGTCAGACCTTGTATCGAACCGTAAAGAAGCAGTTGGTTGAAGCAAACAATTCAAATAACTGCGTCCACATTATGCCTGCAGCCTGTAGATAGAGGTCTCGTCAGTCAGATAGCTGTAACTTTGATTGTTTGAAAGAATCCATCATTTTCATTGGCCGCCATACCACGGAGGAACATTGATGGTTTACCGCCGTAGTGAAAAAAATCACTGGGTTGTCAGCCGAGGTTTGCCTCAATGCCAAAACTGAGGTAGAACAAATGCGACTGTCATTCGTAGGTTGGATGGATGAAATGATCCATACAGCATTGTTGGTTACGTATCACAATAGAAATAATACGAACAGTCACATGATAATGGTCGGACGATTGTGCGCAGTGAAAATGAACCGTAGATTTACGTGGATAGACGTGGATGTGCAAAAGTCTACTAAGAGTTTCCTCCTGTCTACTATCGAAAGCATTAACAGTAGTTGTAGTTCGTTCCGGTCTCCAAGTTCCTCCTGTTGCTGACAAAGCAGCAGCAGTGTTGCGTCCTTCCCTGAGACCCGTTTGCTTTGTTCATTAGTATGAGTGATGATTCTTGGGCTACCATCCCCAGAGTGGATTCCGGACTGACTTTTCCCTCTTTTGTTTATCCGGTACTGTGACATTAGTGGGAGATGGTGCCCCTACATTCATCATTATTATTGTCTTATCGATTATTTTCTTTCGAATATATTCTGAGCTTTCGTGACACTTTAATCTCCCCTTTCCTCTCAATCTATATAAACCCCTTCCATCCAGGTTGATTTCAAACCGGATGCCCATCATCCACCGAATGAAGATCTGCAAAATTTGATTACCATACTAATTCAGACAGTCACCGATCCGACGGAAAGGCGTGAACGTGTTCGGCAACGCGGATTCCTCTTTGCCGCTGATCACTGCTTTACTGTGACTGGACAGGGTACGGTAATGACGGGCACTGTACTAGCCGGATCAATACGTGTTGGAGAGGTGAGCTTCCGGTTGTTGTGCAGTTATTCCTGAAGTTGCTGTATCTAATTCTAAGGCTTTCTTTGCTTTGGGTGTAAAGGAGCAGCAGTGACCAAGACGTCGACAACAGGGGTCACACGTAAGATGAAACGTATTCGCTATTGATCCACGACCGTTAAGTCTCCAGTCCATGTGGGCTTTCACCTCACGGGATTTATGTTGGGCATTCTAGCTTCATGAGATGGCTCAGTGGTTAGAGCGCGAATTTACTAACCGGAAGGTCCGTGGTTCGAACTCGACCTCTGCCTATCAACCTTCCCTGCCTAGGCTTGGGCAACACGGCAGTATCCCATCCCTCGTGCTTCTTTCTGGTAGCATGGTAGTTAAGCACCGAGAGGGTGCTACAGCTGAACGATTCTGGCTTTAATCGTACCTGGTCATTTTGGATTTAAATGATCGTGATCCTGGGTATAGCAAAAGTACCGCGTCGCTGCTCAACTTGAGTACATAGGTAGGTTGGCGCTTTTTGAATACCTTACTGCAGTACTTCCACCCCAGGAACATCCATCAATTCATCGAGGAGAACACACCGCACACCAATATTGCCTGGGTTTCTTCTGATTGACATCGTTGTGTAATATCATAGTACGACTTCATGATAACTTCTGTTGTTTAGTGGTCCGTATTCGAGTTTAGCTAAACGAAAAATCACGAGTTCCAAATGACACAAGCGATTGGAACGGATGACCCCCACACCTACCCACTACTCGACTATGGTATTGTGTGAATCAGATATGCAGAACTATTTTATATTACGACGGAATGGAAACGTATATCTCAACACCTGGAAAGCGGTTGAAAAGCAACCGGATACAAATGTACCTATCTGGTACTGGAAGGTTGCGGTGCGGTTCGCACTGTGTCATCCTCCGAAAAAGAAACAACACGCTTCGCGAATCTGTTTCCTCGGATGGATATTACCATTTTGGCGAAATTCTCCAAGGTTGAATGAACGTGCTCGTGCCATCTCTTGTGGGCTTTGTGAATGTCTCATGTGGAAATTGCCCGAGAGTGACATTCAGCATTCAGGTTTAAGTGTTTTGGCGACGTCCGAGAGAACATAATCATTCTCCACTTGACGCCGGTGGCCGAACAATCGGGTTCTTGCCTCATATGAACTTATTCGAACTGGTTTCCGTCCCTTGTCCTTAGAATCTGTGCACATGTTTGAAAGCCAAACTCGCAGGAAGAATACACATATTACCCGTGTTTTGTGTACGCACAAGACAAGTCATTATCTGCTTTGTTGAGCATATATTCTCTACTTTTTGTCCCCTTCATTCAGACGATTGAGTTACCTCGCCAGCGACTCCAGCGAAAAATCAAATCCATTCAAATGTTCCGCCAGCCTGTCAACTCGATTGGACCGGTGAGTTTCGCTTAGTCCCGATTTTACATGTAAAAAGTTATCGTACACGTTCTTCGCGCATACCAGCAGACCGTGACACACTTCTGTAGTGACGGGCAATGTGTTTTTCCCCACCTCTGCACCGGGTGCTTGTCGCATTAAATTGATTGTTTGCTTGTTTTAATGTAATGATGGTACCGAGTACCACTGATCGTTACATTTCGAATATTCTCGAACACGTCTTCACATCCGCTCAAACACCAGGGGTCTTCAGGATCTTTGAATGACCCTGATTTAGTAACAGTGGTGTTCTTCCCGTGTGTAGCTGTAGTACAAGCTCTGCGGAGCAACGCTGACTTGGAGTCGCGTTCAGTTCTTCAAACGTGATTGGTGTACGATCCACTTTGACTTGAGTTATCAAGTGACTTGGTTACCGGTGAAAGCAGGAAGGCCTTCGCTACGGAGTTATTTACAGTTACAGACTATTGGACAGCAAAACTCTCGACACACTTCTGTAGTGACGGGCAATGTGTTTTTCCCCACCTCTGCACCGGGTGCTTGTCGCATTAAATTGATTGTTTGCTTGTTTTAATGTAATGATGGTACCGAGTACCACTGATCGTTACATTTCGAATATTCTCGAACACGTCTTCACATCCGCTCAAACACCAGGGGTCTTCAGGATCTTTGAATGACCCTGATTTAGTAACAGTGGTGTTCTTCCCGTGTGTAGCTGTAGTACAAGCTCTGCGGAGCAACGCTGACTTGGAGTCGCGTTCAGTTCTTCAAACGTGATTGGTGTACGATCCACTTTGACTTGAGTTATCAAGTGACTTGGTTACCGGTGAAAGCAGGAAGGCCTTCGCTACGGAGTTATTTACAGTTACAGACTATTGGACAGGGAAGCAAAACTCTCATATGCATCTTGTTTACAAAAACTGAATATCCATTTTCTCTTTAAACGCGTCTTTCTGAACTTTCTTGGATATTCATTGACTGTTGCTCAAATCCAAGCAAATGCGACTCCACAAGTTCCGTAATAGATCTCACTTTTCAAGAGACGCGAAGCGAATCTACGAGGAAACACACTACTCGCATGCCCTCATCAGTAGTATCACCGTTACACCGGTAGTGTGGGAAAGAGAGGAGCTTCTTCCATCAGACCACTACATCGTCTGTAGACACTTCCATCTACGACGCTTTTCTACAGAGACTGATTCATGCTGTTCTCGCTCACAAACCTAAAGCATTTGGCATCCCCTCCGTCATCATTACTTGCTGCGATTTTCTGATCGAATCTCAGTTGTTCAGTAACCATAACAGGTCTCCTGGGTTACAAAGGCGTTCGCACTGCGGCATATCACCCGACCGATAATGGACTAGTCCAGTGAACATTGGCCGACTCGTTCCACTATGAGGCCGGATGGCTCAGTGGTTAGAGTGCGAATTTACTGACCGGAAGGTTCGTGCTTCGAACCCGACCTCTGCATCTCGACCTCTCCTGTCTAGGCTAGGGCAACCTGGCAGTATAACAGCCCTCATGCCTCCTTCGGGTGGCATGGCAGCTAAGCACCTAAAAAGTGTTACAGATGAACAATTATTACTATTATCATATTGTTTCACTATGATCGGGGTATTTCCTCTTATTTTCACGTCGCTGATTCACTACGCCATCCATACACTTCCTCCCTCCGTATCAACAAATATGCAAGCAGCTCAGTGACGTGGATTCAAGCTACATTTAACTGTTGTTTACTCACACAACGGTCCATTCTGTCGTTCGGATCTTGCGAAACGAGGGAGCGCGTTCATACAAAGAAGTCACGAATGTGCTTCATCCAGAGAACACCAATTCGCTCAGTTGGTGAAACACAACACTTGCTTTCAATACATCCTGCATAGTTTTCGTCGATGCACATCTTGACAACACCTATATGTATATCTCTTCGTTAACGGATAATCGGCGTTCTGTCAGCGTGCCAACACCACTGTCGTTATCATCACTGTATTACCTACACGATAACGAAGGGTCTTTTGTTCACTGTAAGTAATCCTAGTACCCACACATTCAAATATGTTTACAGGACACCAGAACCAACGCTCCACGGCGCATCAGCGTGGGTAAATACAATCTACTCCCAGAATCATCTTTCATTAATTGCCATCCACATTGCCAAGCGAACCGAATTTATGGACTTCCGAAAGATCTGTTCATGCACTGTCGTAGAAGAGCTGCCGAACGGTAATCAGTTTCAACCACACCTGAGGAGTCTGTAAAACTTAGTGGATTCGTACTGTGTATTGGTGGTGTGCGGCACACCACACAATCTCCACCTCTCCGAGGTACACAGAGCTACCAGACCAAACGTTGTTTGCCGAACTTAACAAATATGCGCTGTATTGAAGCGTGACCACTAAAAGGCACTAATTACAGGTCCAGTGATACACCTGACCTACTCACTCCCCTCCCCACAATTCTCGATACCACCCACCATGTTTGCACCACGACTCAGAGATTGATCTCGGGAGTGATGTCGCTGACTTTCACAACCGTCCTAGTCTTCTGAGAACTGAACGGTGATCAGTGTCAGCAGTCCTACTCGTAGCGGTGGAGATTGTCACGGTCTAGAGAAGCTCAGAAACATTCAGTTCATGACTTTGCATATAATGACATGCCCATCTGTTTTTATTCCATGTAACTTAGAGAGGCTCTCAGTCCGACGGTATGTCACGTGACCAAAACCGGTTTATCCTCGGTTGAAATTTACATTCCCTCTTTCGAGATGTACGTCTGCTATATGGCGATCAACTTGATAGAAACCGGGAGTCTACATTTTTCTAGGTGGTACTATGGTGCTCACCCTCCCAGCTTTAGACAGTTCATCGTTGTCCGTTCGAGGCCCCTCTCTTATGGGAAACCTCCGAACAAAGGGCGTTTCCCCCAAAAGGATCACATCTGCTTCAATTTTTCGGAATGAGTACCTTTCACTCAGGCTGTAGCAGGACAGACAATATAATCGTTCAGCTGTAGCACCCTTTCGGTGCCTAGCTGCTATGCCACACGAAGGAGGCACGAGGGCTGGGATACTACCAGGTCGGCCAAGCCTAAACAGGGGAAGTTGAGTAGCAGAGGTCGGGTTCGAACCACGGACCTTCCGGTCAGCAAATTCGCGCTCTAACCACTTGAGCCATCTCGCCCCACATACAATATCTAGGCCCTATTTGATTAAAGTGAACTATGCTAACTGCGATTCTCGGCTTTTCTGCGCGGATTTTTATCCTTCAAAATGTCAACTTAATTTTGTAGAGCTCATGCTTTCCCAAAACGAGCAATTCTCACTTAGAACTATGTAGCATACAAGAAAGCACCGGGAAAACCAGTGTCTATATG